AAAAAAAAAAAAAAAAAAAAAATGGATATATATAATAGTGGATTCTAACTAGTAATTAAAAGATCTTGGTTTTTTGCTTAACTTATCTCAATAATCCGGGTCAAACTCTCAATCAAAAAAATAATATCCTATCATTAATTATATAATCTACACATAGTGACACAAACAAATATATAGTATTAATATACTACACTACATTGTAGCTACATTATTTCACTATTTAACCTTGCATATATTCCTCAAATTATGTACTATATATTAAGCTTTGTCGAGCTAGTCACTACTGGGGCAGAGTCGAGCTGGTCACCACTGAAAGAGGTATACAAAACAACAACAACAAAACTTGAAGAGCAGCACATAGACACACATAGCCCACATAGACACACATAAACTTGAAGAACAACAACATCCCATTTTATGTTCGGAAAACAGAGTAAGAAAATGGAAAAAAAACCCTAGATTCACTCGACGGACTCAAATACACATTTTTACTAAAAACCCTAAAAAATCGCCTAAAAACACAACAAAATTGACAAGGTCGGGTGTGAGCCTCTTTGCGGAGAGCACTCGACGGACTTAAATTGATGAGAGGACAAACACCAAAATAATAATAAAGTAACCGCACCTTAAATCGCCGGAGGAGGAGCGCAGCGCCCGTGAGTCGGACGAGCAGCAATTAGTCGGAATTCGCCGGAGGAGGACAAGCAATTGATGAAAGAAGACACTAGATTCACTCACCGAGCAATTTCAATTGATTCACTCATCGAGCACGTGATGAAAAGAAAACTCTCAAATGATTCTTCAAATTTTTCGCAGAAAAGAAAATGAATGTCGGGCGGGATGGCGAAAGAGAAGAAAAGGGGAAAAATTAAAAAAATTGTGTCCAAGGACAATTATGTACTTTTGTCTACCAAAATGACTAGATTTCATTTTTCTTAAAAAAATGGCTATATTTCATTTTTGTTTTTACTTAAGTGCTGTAAAGCACCATTACCACAAAAAAAAAAACTATGAGTGAATAAAAAAGTGTGTGGAGAGAATGGTTTGCTGTGTGTAGTATGTGTGCCAGTGTGTGTCTGTGTGAAAAGGTGGATTGAGGAGCAAAAAAAGGTCTTGGTAAAGTTTGCTTTTCAAGTAAATAGTGCACTTTGAGTGAGTTTGTGGGTTGTTTTCTTCTAAGTAATAGTATGTACTTTGAGTGTGTGTATGTGTGTTTCCTTGTGACATTATTTCATGAATCATCTACCATGTATGTGTGGTAAAAATGTGGAACTAAAAATCTAGACTTGATTAGGAATATTCAGTAATTATCGAATTTTATGTAAAAACTATATTAATAAAACTAATGTAAGAAATCGTAAGTTGAATGAATACAAAATAACATTTTCATTTTTTATTTTTATTTCATGAGTTCATAAGAGAATCCACGTGAATGAAATACGATAAGAAAAGCCATTTCATTTGGTCAACTTTTTGGACTATATAGTTTTTTTTTTTTAAATAAATAAACTACCCATCTCTCAAAACTATATTTACTTTTTCCTTTTTAAGATTTGGGAATCAATGAATAATTTGAATTTAAGAGCTGGGCATAGGTTAATAATTACTTACATAAATCATAGTTATTTCAGATAAGATTTTAAAATATGTCTAATCCATCACATTGTTGAGAATCTGAAAAAGCACTTGGATTTTACACAAACACTTACAATAAATCAAGATAAAGGTCAAATATTTTTAATCATTGAAATTTTTAGTAACTCCTAGACTTTTTTAATAGGAAAATTGAAAGTTCAATTTTGTATAACTCGAAAGTTCTTTTAAGTTTTAACACGTGTATAAAATATAATATAATCACGTATTTCATTCAAACATTGAAAAACAAATCTCATTTTCATAAAAGGAATAATGAGTGCCATCTGAACTGCTAATCCTAGTTTTAGGATTGTGAAATAGACACAATAAAGAGCTGAGTTAAAGTAATTAATTTGAGTGCAATAGATAATGTGTCTAGTTACACGTCTTAGCTGCAAAACAATAAGTACAGCAATCTTTTGGGCCCTTTTTATGTGAATAGCTATTTAAATGCAAAGTAGTGCCCTTGATCAGGCCCAGCAGCATATATCAGGGCCTCATATTCTTACCAAGTATATTTAAGCTCATAGTTTTGGTCCATTACAAGCCTCAAAGCATTACTCCCATCGGGTGAAAAATAAAAAAATTATAAAATAAAAAAAATAAAAAGAGAAGAAGAATAAGGAGGAGACAGCATATTAGAAATTAACAGGACTCTCTTTGAAAAAAAAAAAAACTTAATATTAAATGAGACTTACTTGGATAAAAAAATGTATAAACCAAGTAAATAAGTTATAAGTTAATTTATTGTTATTATCAAATATACTTTTAAGATATTTTATTATTTATAAATTGTTATATCTTATTTAAAAAGTAAGTTGTCGAAATATTTATAATAAACATATATCGGCTCATAAGAACTCTTCAATAATATAAATAGAGAAATATATAAGATGTTAAAAAAATAAGTAAATAGATTTATTAATAGTTCTTATCTATATATATCTAAAAATGTTGATGTAAAAATCATTTTTAGAAACCTAAAACATGTTATATTTCAACTTCTTAAAAAAAAATGTTTCAACTTCTAAAGACTTGGGATTTCAAATTTCATGGTTGTGTTGCTCAGGATTCTCCAGCATTGGCGCTACTCAACCCCAAAACATTAAGTCAGATGAATCAATCCGACTGTACATGCGCAGTCGAGAGACGACAAATTTTCACTACATACCAAAACTTTAAAAGCAGTACAACTAAAGAAAAATTTTCACTGTATTTTTAGACTAAATTTGAGTCCGTAATGCGTGCACGGCGTGCCCAACTAGTAATATGATGCATAAAAATCAATGATTTTTATTTAAAATAATATCAAAACAATTCAAAGAGAAGAAAATAAATAAACATTGCATTTTTATTTATTTATTTTTTTTGTTGGGGAAAAAACTTTTGCTTGTTTCCTTTTTGCACCCTAATAACCGGTACCCTTTGTCCCCAAAAGTTTGCATTTTACTGAGCGACTTTAGATGAAATTGGAGGACACCGGACAGTGACACCTGGACGCATCCCGCTTTCTCCCATAAACTTTCTGTAATTTTCACTTATGCCCCTGTACGAGCTGCGGTTATATTTAACATCTCGTCCTCATTCTCTACAATGAGAGGCCTGTCGTACGTCTTCTCCACTCGATACTTTCAGGTACTCCTTATGGTAAGTTGCAATGCAGTTTTTTTTTTTTTTTTTATTATTATTATTTTTTTCTCTGCCGATTTTCGACGTTTTATTGTTCGCTTCAGTAAGTTTTTGTTCTTCGCTCGGACGATTTCAGCTTGTATGTGTATGTCAGCTGAATGAAAGGTATCGAAGAACATTTCTGGTGTGGTTTGTTTGTTTAGCTGAGTAATTGTTCGAAGGATTTCTGTGGTTCGTCTTAGCTTGTGTGAGCGTGCTTTGTTTGTGGAATCGACGTTTTATTGTTTGCTTCAGTAAGTTTTGATTTTCGCTCGGGACGATTTGAGCTTGTATGTGTATGTCGGCGGAATGAAAGACATTGAAGAACATTTTTTGGCGTTGTCTGTTTGTTTATCTGTGTAATTGTTCGAAGGTTTTTTGTGATTCGTTTTCACGGGAATGCTTGTTTAATTTTTAATTTTTTTGTTCTTTTTTTTCCCTGGTAGTCATGCGTGATTTTTGTGAGTGTGCTTTTGTTTCATGGATTCTGTGTTTGTGAAATGTTGGGATGAACAGTGTAATTCAGTTTCAGTACAATCTCTGAAACGCATAGTACAACAACAGCTGACATTGAGTGTTGTCCATTGTCTGAGGCTCGATGTCCTTTTTAAATGGTTTGATAAGGAAAATGACGTTAGTACGCTGATGTTAGTGTTGCTCAGGATTTTACTTTTGGTTTTTATCTTCACTTTTCTCAAATATCCAAAGTGTGATTGTTGAACATATTCTTGCATAGCTAGGATTTAACTCTGTGTGCTATTTCGTTGTGAATCTTGTTATTATTCATTTTTCACCTGAAAAACTTTTTCGTAATCTATTAGAGCATGAGATAGAGCAATCAATTCAATCGAGAGGAATCTGGTTTTAGCAGTACTGACTTTTCCTTCTCAGCTCAACTGCTTAGTGATGTTTGGAACTATCGTTTCTTATTTGCTTAGTAATTGCTGAAGTATGACGTGTTTTTCAATTGATTTCTTTATTGAAGGATGCAAGAAATGATGTGTGGCAAGTCACAGAGAACGAAAATAGAGATATACTTGAGAACAGCTCAAATTTTATTATATACTGTCAGATAATGTAAATAAATTGAGCTAAGAGATTGCCAGTTATTAACTATCCAGTCATGACACAATTGAAAGAAATTGATATAATGTAAATGGTCTGAGCTAAGAGATTGCCAATTCTGAAGCTATTCAGTCTTACAATTGAAGAAAACAAACACAGATTAGGGAATTTGAATAATGTCTTGACTTCTGATCATCATGTGCATGGAATGTATTTTCTAATATTTTGGTTCCATTCAGTTTATACTGCTTAACAGATTCTTGTTTTGTATTAAAGCGATGGATTTGCCTCTCTGGGATCCATGCGACGATGAAGATCACCTCACAGCAGGTAAGCAGACCATTTTTGGCTGTCCTCAGTGATTGTATTGAAATTGGGATTTAGTTTGTCATCTATTCTACTTAAACTTCGTTTTGAGTTAGGCAATTGTGGTTTATGTCATTTTGCAGGGCAGACGGGCTCTGACATTGAAGATAACCAGAACTGCTACTTTTCTTTTGGTTTTGAGCGTGGTGAGTTGACTAATTCTGGTCTATGCTTTAGTTTTCTTAACAGGTGATTTCGGAAACTCATCAAATGAAGGACGTGCAATCTGCTCAATCACGATTCTCTATTTAATATTCTATTCTTTTACTTTCACAAGATGTGATTGAAGACGATATCTTGAATGAGAAAGCTTGCATACAAGTCCTTCAAATATGGGTCGACAAAGCAGATGACGAAATCAAGAAACTCAAAGACGATATAACAATGCTTCAATGTCAACTGTTGTGGGATGACGAGGAGTGGTCTAGAAAATGCTCTTCTGTTTTGAGAGAAAAAATCGATTTTCTCAATATTTTGATACAGATCTTAAAGAAGGAAATCGCAGAGGACTCCCCTCTACAGCCGATTCAAATACTACAACCTGAGAACCTAGCTGAGAGACTGTATGTTCTGGTGAAGCCTCTGCTGGACAATCACCTCTTGGGAAAAAGCATGAAGGTAAGCTTTATTAGCACTCTTAGTTCCTTTTATTTTTCCCACAATATTTTTGGAACTTTTTTTTCTCTAACTACTTAATTCCAGAAGCCTTTTCTTTTACAAGAACAGACTGAACGTAGCACAGCGTGTGTGCCCATCCTACCAGACGATGGAATCGGTGGGAAGAAATTGGAATCAAGCAATTCAGGACATGAAGTCACAGCGGAAAAAATGAAATGCGTTAGTCCACTTAAAACATACGAGAGGAAGAATACTGCCATGGCACTTGGAGAGAGGAAATCAAATACCACCCCACAGGTTGAATTTGGAAATCAGCTATTTCCCTCCTTTAACAAAAGGATCTGTTTTTTTCTTTTATTATTTTTCTTAATCATTCGTCCTTTCTTTTTTATTGATAAAAAAATATTTCAACTCCTGAACTACATTCAGGAGCCGCATGCCTTGACTAGCAAGTTAACTGCAACTAGTCAAATATGTGAGAGTGACAAGTTGCATGGAGTACCAGGGAATCAAATGCCATGTTCTGCTGCAGTTAAGTTGGGGGGAAGTTCCATTATTAAGGAAGTGGTAAGTTAGAAAAAAGAAACATGTTTGTTCTGGGGAATTAATTAAACTACCCTGAGTATTAGCCTATTCATAGACTCCAGTTTACCTTTCACAATTACAAATGTTCCTATATTGTTCACATTTTCAAAAAGATATAAATGTTTGAGTAATACATCATAATTTCAAAAAGATAATTGAACTTTTTGTAATTAGCCAAAAGAATAGGATTAGTTTTTTAGTACACATCGTACTTAGTTTAGATATGGTTTATGAATCTTTTCTGCTGCTGCCTCTCTCACCAGCCACCTGAAAACCCTAGGTAAAATCTTTAACTGCAAGTAGAATTGCAAGTGCAAAAGAGAGGGGGAAGGGGAAGGACACCGGCGAGGTGGTTGTTTCCAAAGCAAAGCCCGCCCAACAGAAGGTTGAACGTGAAGGCACAGAGGCTAGTTCACATTTGGGGTCAACCGAACCAGAAGCTGAGGTTGCTGTTACTGTTACAGTGCACGAAAATATTCCCAGCAACTTAAATTTTACCTGACATGTCCTCTTTTTTCAGAAAATTCTAATGTGGATTTTAGATTATATTGATAGAGAAACGTGTCAAGCATTGCATTAAGAATTTTAATCTGCCATTTTCTTTCATCAGGCACTCGTTGAAACCCTGGAATCCTTGGATTTGGAAAATACAACTCAAGCCTCAGTTAAGATACGGGAAGCAAGTGCATATGAGTCGAAGGGAAGTTCCATTAAGCAAGAGGTAAGTTAGAAAAACGAAACATGTTTGATATGGAGAATTTAATTAAACTACCCTGACTATTAGCCTATTCATAGACTCCAGTTTACCTTTCACAATTAAAAAATTTCCCAGGTTTGAGTAATACTTCATAATTTTGAAAGTTAATTGAACTTTATGTAATTAGCCAAAAGCTTAGATTTAGTTTTTGTAGCACACATTTTATTTAACTTAGATATGGTTTATGAATCTTTTCTGCTCCTGCCTCTCTCACCAGCCACCTGAACCCGAGGTAAAATCTATAACTGCAAGTGCTTCTGCCGGAAAAGTTTGTTCAAAAGAGAAGGGGAAAGGGAAGGCCACCAGCAAGTTGGTTGTTTCCAAAGCAAAGCCCTCCCGGCAGAAGCTTGAACGTGAAAGCACAGAGTCTAGTTCACCTTGGGAGTCAACTGAAAGCGAAGGAGAGGTTGCTGTTACTGTTGTGGTGCACGAAAAATTCCCAGCACAAAGCAAGGGCATATAAGAATTTTAATCTGCCATTTTTTTTTTTTTTTTAATCAGGAAGTCTTTGAAAGACTACTGAAATCTTGGGATGTGGAGAATACAACTCGAGCTTCAGTTAAGACACGGAAAGCAAGGGCATATAAGTTTGCAGATCACAAGCCATCGGCGAAACTAAGAAGAAAGAGTACAAAAACAAAACTTTCAGAAACAACAGATTCAGATGAGGCTCTGGACACTTCGAAAGCTAAGACAAGAAGCCGACAACCACAAAGGAAACGTAAGGCGGCTCAAAAAGTTGAATCATCATCCACAGAAATTTCAGAGGGAAAGGAAAACTTTGGACTTCATCAGAAGAGAAGCAAGAACAGAACTCAACAAACCAAGATAAGTGGTGCATCGAAAATCGATGTTGATTCGAGTTCGACTCCCTCACCTGAAAAGAAAAGGAAAAGCCCCTCGCCCGAATAGGGAAAAAAAAAACTCGCCTGAAAGGAGAAGGAAAACCATCTAACAGTTCACAAATGCAAATGAAAAGAAAAGGATTTTGTGTACAAATACAATATGCACTGAGTTTGTACATTTTTTTTTTTTTACTGAATACAATGCAGCTAAAGGAAATAGTGGTTAGAGACTGACCAGACATGATTTTCTGCTTATATTAGGCAGCTTAAAGTCTCAGCTGTATACATGTTTTCACATCTGATTGTACTGACCGACTGCATGAACGAATTCTGAGGACAATTCTTTCAGTGTTTTTGTCTTTAATGGTGCTGTTGAGCTTTATTAATTTCACACACACACACACATAAAAGATGTAAAAAGTAAAAACCCAAACCGCCCACAAAATCACCATCAGATTTCTTGGCATTCTCCAGAAATTATCAAGAGAAAAGATTGTGTTCACAATAAACTTGGGTAATTAACATTACTGTATACAGGTGAAACCTGGAACTACTCAAATGTCAGCCAGCAAAGAAATATAATTTTGGTCCAAATGTAAGCTAATAACATTCCAAATGATCAAGGGACAAGGATCCTTCGAGAAAAATTACCAAGCACAACATATTGATAACCAAATTGATCTATCAAGAAACTTAACCTACAGTCAAAAAGTAAGTCATCAAAAGCTGGCAAAAAACCAAGTATCTCCAATCACAAAATCGAATAGTTCTCGTGGCTTCCAACATGTTGATCGAGAATCGGCATCAGAACAAACCAGACACTACCATTTTTGTTGGGCGTACAGCACAAGTCACTGGACCTAGCAAATTGAATAAGATTATAAAAATAAGACCGATATCAGCAACTAACGAGAAATTAGCTCTACTGGAATTTGAGCTAGTATAAAGTCCTAGTGTCCTACGTGTGACTAATCTTGAGCTCATGCCTGACACAAGCAATATTTTATTTTCTTCAAATGTAACCGTTTTATCGATTTCTTAGTTGTCGGGCTGAAAAGCTCATGAAAACCTCAATTTTAAACTGACAACTTGAATCCAAAGGGAAATAACTATCCTAACCATACCACCAAGTGGTTCTCAATAAGTGAGATAAAGGTGATGGGAAAATTAAGAGTCAGAGATACATAAGTATCCAATTGATTACCTCATTTTGCAGCTAATTTGCTATCAGCCTCCTTCAATGCTCTAACAAGATGGATTATCCGATACTGCAGCTTTGCATTTTCAGTAGTAAGGTGTTGAACCTCTTTCATAGCCTGACACACATAATCGACACCGGTAACATCTATATGATAATGACTTTGAAAAAAAGAGAAGAAAAAAAACAGAACAAAAAGAAAGAATTAGAATATAAAACACCTTCTCTCTTTCGGCAACTTTCTCAGCTTTTACATTTTCCAGCTCCAACTGGAGTTCACTCACTAACTTGTTCTGTTTTTCATTCCCAGGTTCTGAATAGCATCAAAAGAAATAGCGTGCTGCGTTTTATAACGAGTTATTGATCTTCAGTAAGTACAAAAGCTTTTCAAACATACCTTTATTTTTTGACAGTAAGTCTTCAAGTCTTCCCAGTCGGTCCTTCATGCCAAGCAGTAGTAATTTAGTATATGAACACATAATTTTTACATCTTCAACAGCTCCCAATGGACCATACAAAATTCATAGTTTAAATGGAAACATATTTTGCTGCATAATCTGGTCATTTTTACTACTCACATCATAAAATAGTGACTTGAATCAGATGAAAAAGTTTACACTTTTACACGAGTAAAATGTTAACAGTTATACCATCATAGTCGTATAAAGACTCCATAATCATAGTTAGAGTATTTAGGACAGAAAAAACTAGAATCTAATAAAGCAAAAACCCAGGAAAGCAAGCACAGATAGGGAGAATTACAACAACAAAAAAAAACATCAAGATTTATAATTTAAGACCTCTGCTTCTGAAGCTCTCCGGTAAAAGGGCCTCAATATTTCTCCGAGATTGTTCGATTCAGCAGCCATTTTAGTTTCTTTTTTCACAAATTCAAATGCGCAGACACACACACACACACACAAGCAGCCGCTACGGGATATTGGGATTTTTGGGACACTGACACTGTTACAAGCTAAAAATCGTTATCGGAAATGGAATAAAGGTCGTTATTATATTGTTATGGAGTACATTATTATATTATATTTTTTATTAGATATGTACATTATGTAATAAGAATTTATAACAAGTATTTATAACAAGTAGTTGAGAGCGCACATTATGTAACTGCAGAATACGTTGAGTCTAAGTGGCAGACTCACATGCTTCGAAATTCTATGTGGTAAAATTTTAATATTTTGTCATTTGATTTGGATGGATTTTATTTCACTCTCAATAAAAAAATAATTAAATTTAGACTAATCATAAATATACTAGATATATATGGTCGTTTTTAATTAGGTTACATATTCTATTCTATACCTGATATATAAGGTATAATTTTTCTTCTTCAATCTTTCTTATTTTTTCTCATCTTTCTTTTAAAACTAGTGTTCATACTTGATACCCGTGTGATGCACAGGATGCAATAAAAAAATATTTTTTATTTAAATATTATAAAATTATTTAAGACAATATGAAATTATATTCTCCACAATATTCTATTCAGTAATAATATGACTTTTATTTATTTACTATTATTGTTAATTCCTATTTTTATATTTTTTTTTGTAGTTTTTGACTATTTAATATATAAATTTTATTATTTATAAGTTTATAAAATATTATAAATGTATAAGATAATATGATATTTTCATACAAATTACTTGCATGTATTTATGAAATTTTCATTTTTCATAGTCTTATATTTTTTTTAACAATTCATAATTTGCACGTTGCTTGATAATTGACCAACGTTTAACACATAATATTTATCTTCCGCAATAAGTATTAAGTGCATTAAATGTTAAAAACTTTGATAAAGAAGTTTTAATTTTTAGTAACTTTAATCCTTATGCAACACACAAATTTCTTATGGTTAATATTTTATTTTTATAATTTTATTTTTTATTTCTTTAATTAAATTGTTCAACCTATATAATGAGTTACATAGAATCTATTCGAATATTTAGATATATTATATATTTTTATAATTACCAAGTGCTATAATTTAAATTATTATACATTGTTTTTTTGTTAACTTAATTTTTATTTATAAAATAGTCTACAAGAAAAAAAATATGTGTATATTTAGAAATTGAATAGTTTTTTAATGTACATAGATACTTCTAAGGTGATATTTATAATTCTGAATTACACCCGACCATCAAATTTTATTTTTATTAGTATATTATTTAAATTTTCAATAGTATTGTCACTGCATATGATATATTCAATGGGGATATACCTTTATATAGTTAAATTGACTAAATTTTAGAAATTTTGATTAATATTTTAAATTATTTATTAAGTTATTATGATTTAAAAATAGTTATTATGATTATTTTATTAAATATTATAAGTACTTTTGAATAGTGAATATAATTAATTCAATTAATACCTACAATCATAGATGATAATATATTTAATCAAATCAATTTCCATAATAATTTTATGAATTGTGTCAATAAAATACTATTAACTTAATATAATATCTTATTAAAAATATATCTAATAAATCTACGGTCAAAATTTCAATTTAAGCCAATTTGTAGTTAGTGAGTAATAGTCATTGAGTGTATAAAAAATAATTATATTTTTCATGCATAAGATTTGCTAATAAATAAATATTAATTAAATGTCAAATATAGACGAAAAAAATTTCTGCCCAAAATCATGCCAATTACAGCAATAAGGATTTGTCCATTATATAGATATATAGACGAAAAAATTTCCTGCCCAAAATCATGCCAATTATAACCATAAGAATTTATCCATTATATAGATATAAATTATAAAAATTATTAACTTAGATTTAAAAATTAATAATTTTTTTATTTATTATCATTTTGTTTACATTTTATCCAAACATCTCCTTAGAATTCTAATTGAATACACTCCCTTTTTTAACACCACAAATCAGCCACTCTAAAATTAATGACCGTTTGAGAAGTTGGCTCCATCCCAAAAGAAACCCTTAAATGCTATAGTTTGGCACCCATCCCCAATTCAATCCACCTGCTCCCATCAATGCCCTATCTCTCTAGCTTTTGCCCACTTGAAAACACTGGTATAAGTATGCGTATGTACGCTCATTTTTCGTATGAATGCCGTCCAGCGAAAAGGGTCACAAGAAATTGGGGCCCCAGAAACAAATTTGACGTGAACAGTACATTCATTCTACACAAGCTGCATGTCAATTTGTTCATGCCTTTTGTTTGATGGGATATCTTTGAAGGGTTGTTGATATATTGACTTGGATTTTTTCTATTTTTGATAATTGACAAGTAAAGGTTGGTGCTTTTTCCGGAAATTGTTTTAATTTGTTTCTTGTTTTCGCATTCTTATCTGCTTGGTAGATGAACTAACTCTGACGGAGTGTACAATGTCATTCTAGANTGATGTATATAATGAAGTCTTGCAATGATGAATTCTTATCCCATCGGGCTTCTACTGTTGCATAGTAATGTGTGGTGTTTATATAATTTCATGACCAGATAATTAGCAGTTAGATCCAGAAAAGGAAGATCTTTCTTTTAGAAAAGTGAAAGAAGACGAGCAAAAACCCGAAAGTGAAAGCTCTATATAGTTACAAATCTTTGTGTCTAGTAAATCTCTATATACTTACAAATCATTTTGTGCTTTCTGTGATTCTGTATTTTATAGTTAGTGTGAATTAAAGATAATTAGTCAGTTACCACTTAATTCTTCTCATTTTACATTTCCAGTATCTCATTGTTGATTGCTGGCTCTTGATTTTTCCCTGGAGAAAAAGATGGTTGGGAGTATTGAAGCCCTAAGCAACAACTCGTACTCAAACGGGTCCTCACAAAACCCAAACGGTTTTGAAGACAAGCTAGACGAGCTCCGAAAATTCATTGGCAAATCTGAAGGCGACCTTTTGAAGATCGTCGGTGTTGGGGCAGGCGCTTGGGGAAGCGTATTCACAGCATTGCTCCAAGACAGCTACGGCCCGTTTCGCGACAAGGCCCAAATACGGATATGGCGAAGGCCCGGCAGGGCTGTGGACCGGGCCACAGCCGAGCACCTCTTCGAAGTGATCAACTCAAGAGAAGATGTGCTGAGAAGGCTGATAAGGCGTTGCGCGTACCTAAAATATGTCGAGGCCCGTTTAGGTGACCGTGTTCTTTATGCAGATGAGATCTTGAAAGATGGGTTTTGTCTTAACATGATTGATACCCCTCTTTGCCCGATGAAAGTTGTGACTAATTTACAGGAGGCTGTTTGGGATGCTGATATTGTGATAAACGGGCTGCCCTCGACCGAAACCCGGGAGGTTTTCGAGGAGATTAGAAAGTATTGGAAGGAGAGGATCACTAGCCCAATTATAATATCGTTGGCCAAAGGTATAGAAGCTGAGTTGGGCCTGAGCCCTCGTATAATTACGCCCACGCAAATGATTAATCAAGCAAGTAAGGATGTTTTTCTATTTCCCCTGTTTATTGTTTGGAGCTTTTACATTTTATTTGATTCGTATTAACATTTGAATTGAAAGGTTGGGTTTCTGTTTAAATCTGCATCAGGTTGATATTTTGGATTTGTTGGCAAATATTGCCTTTGAGGTTTAGCCTTGTTAAATAAAGACTTCAATTTTCTTTAAAAATTTAAAAGTACCCCTCTAAAGTATTACGCGATCTTAAATATTTCCTAGGAGTGGATATTAAAATTCCTGCCACGGGGATCAAAGGTTAGCTTTAGGCAAATTCCAGTGAGGTTCAAACGGATGTGGTCGGTACTCAGATGACCATTGGATCCTCCCTCCCATTGATGTGTTTATAAATATCCCCTCTAAAGTATTGCCTTTGAGGGCCTCGGTGCTAGTTTGTGCTCATTTTGAAATTTACCTTCTTTGATAATTTGGATTGTTGCAAATCGCCTTTGAGATTTATTAGTCTTGTTATATAAAGACTTCATATTGCTTACATACACCTCCTCCTCGACTGACACTTGGGGGTCCAAGTTGTAAAATAGAAACACATGTGAAAAGGGCACTTGAATCTTTCAGGATTAGGCTTAGAACTCAAATGGTAGTTTATGTAATCATCTTCTATGTCACATTGTTAATTTTAGCACTTCATCCTTCACACCTCTGTAGCTTTGAAATGTTTATTACTTATTAATAGGGAAAAACAATCATGGGTTCTTTCGTAATTATAAACTTCATTGCGTTCTGTTTTCATGAATACTTTTTAATTTGTGCTTTCACTTGCAGCTGGAGTGCCTATAGAGAACATTCTGTATCTCGGTGGACCCAATATTGCTTCAGAGATATACAACAGAGAGTACGCAAATGCTCGAATATGTGGAGCCGAAAAATGGAGACTCCCTCTTGCAAAGTTCTTAAGGCAGCCTCAGTTCATCGTATGGGATAACAGTGACCTTGTAACACACGAAGTCATGGGAGGCTTGAAAAATGTCTATGCTATTGGAGCCGGTAATTTTTTATGATGACTCGGGTTTTGAAAAGATGACTCGGGTTTTTTTATGATTTTTATTTTGGTAATTCTTATTTATAATTATCCCTATTCAGGCATGGTGGCAGCTCTAACTAACGAAAGTGCCACTGGAAAATCGGTATATTTCGCACACTGCACATCAGAAATGATCTTTATTACTCATTTATTAACCAAAGAACCCGAAAAGCTTGCCGGGCCTTTGCTTGCCGACACATATGTAACTCTGTTAAAAGGTCGTAATGCATGGTACGGCCAGATGATTGCTAAAGGGCAACTGAGCCTCGATATGGGTGATAGCATTAGTGGCAAAGGAACTATTCAGGTCCATCTTTTGAAAAAAAAACCCTTAAAAAATTTATGCCTAGATTTTTTTACTGTTGTGTAACTATTGCGGAGTTTACTATTTATTGTGCCATAATGAATAATTTAAAATATTTTCAGGGTGTTTCTGCTATCGAAGCATTTTACGAGCTTTTAAGCCAAAATAGTTTGAATGTATTGCACCCTGATGCTAACAAGCCAGTAGCCCCAGTCGAGCTGTGCCCGATCCTGAAGATATTGTATAAAATTCTCATCACCAGGTACAATTTTTTTTTTTTTTTTTTATTTTNATAATCCGCATCACCATCTGACTTTTTTTTTTTAAAAAAAAAATGGGGCTATTTTTCATATTTTGACAAGTCGAGGTGTGTAACTGTTTGAATATTTGACGATGTTTGTTCGCCAACATGTGGGGCAAAAGTATAAGATGAAGTTGAATCCCAATGGTGGTTCTTTCACAAGTTTTTAACTCCATGAAATTTGATCTTTCTCCTCTGCAATTACTATGAGATACACATTATGATCTCTCTCTCTCTCTCTCTCTCTCTCTCTCTCTGCAGAGAACAAGGACCTCAAGCAATACTTCAAGCACTCAGGGATGAGAACTTGAACGATCCACGGGACAGAATCGAGATTGCACAAACTCATGCATTCTTTAGGCCTTCACTTCTTGGGCACCCTTAAATGAGTAAAAAAATAAAAAAGGGTATTCGATATTTGATGATCTAGTTGAAGGATATGACTTAAAACCAAGAGAGATTATATCTTCTCATACTATGGATGATATTTTTTTCTTAAATATCACTTGTTGCAATGTACCTTCATGAGGACAATGTTGCATGGGTATTTGCATCATTTGACATTTGGATTATTAAATTATTCATATATTTGGCACATTTGAATTCTTTAAAATCTTGCTGAAAATATGTTAAGAGGATAGAAATTTTCTCCCTACAACTTTTCATTTTCAAAGTCCTATGTGCTTAGGTATATTTATATATTTTTCAAGAGCTTATTCGATCATCTGTTGGATCACGTGCTGGTATGTGTTGATCGAAAATTCGGTGTGGGTAAGGTGAAATTCATCCATTTTATGAGATGATTGGAACTTTCATGGACAAGCTAATTCAAATGATGGTTTTAGTTACCCTCAAAGTCAAAGGACGAAGAGGATATAAGTCTTGGTCAACTACCTAAAATATTATGTAAGTAAGTAAGTTGGCCAAATTGAGAGTATTAAAAATACAAAATTGAGCATCTTCTTATATATTAAAAAAAAAATGTGTTTGTATGCAAAGTCAACATCTATTGTTGGCATTTACTGCATATGACGTGGCCACGTGTGTTTTGATGGGCGCGCCGAGGATCTGAATTTACAAGATTAGCCCCCCGTGTTCTCTAAAATGGCAACTCTCTATATATATATATATATTTTTATTTTTATTTTTTTTATTGTACCATTATAACTTAATAAGTTTCTTTTGGAGTCGAACTACTCCACTAATTTGTCTTTATTACTTTATCTTATACGCGTTAATTTGGTGGTTGTTGATAAGAACAACGATAGTTGTTTGAATGTTCGTTTAATTTAGAAGCATGTCATTGAAGTTTATTTTTAAGAAGATAAGAAATAAATAAATAACAATTTAATAAATAAGAGGAAATTTAATAATTTAATAAATAAGAGGAAATTTCAGATATTCCAACAATTTATACTAAGGATAAATCTTAACGTTCAATTTTATAAGATCAACACCCTCTAAATTGAGGATTATATTTAATTAACTTCTTATATTTTATAATTTAACGTCAATTTAAAATTTAATTACTCCCACCATAGAGTTCAAGCATCCAAAGCTTTAAATTGATAAGTTTATGAACGCAATTCAATTCAATTTGTTTTGAACAGTTTTGCTATGGAGCTATCGGATGGCTCGACTTATGAAGCCATCCGCAATTATTCATCAATAATGTATTGACATGTGCCTTGCAATAAATACAATTTGGACAAGTGTTAATACATTAAGTGGTAGATGGCTCCATAAAAAAATTATCTGATGACTCTATAGAATTTTTATTATTTTGAATAAATAAATCAGTCGATCTCGATTCTCAAACATCTATTTATTCAAGAAACGAAGCTTATTTGAAAAAAAAAATATTTATTTTAATTTATTAGGTTTTGAACGAAATTGCGGAGTCGAGCTGAACATATTCGATTAGAATAACATGTCAATTTTTTTTTTTAAAAAAATGAATTATTCCGTGAGTGGCAAGGTTCGTAATTACCATTCGATCACAGGCCCTAATCCATAACCCCCGAGTCCCCGATACTATAAACTACGCTATTTCCACTCACAAAGTTACTCCGCGCACTCCAATTTCAAGCTACCACCATCATGTCGAACTACCCTCCAACACCTCCCGGCTACCCGTACAACGCGCCGCCGCCTTCCCAACCCCAAGGCGGCCCACACGGCGGCCCCCCGCACACTTCTCAGCCATACCCAGCCGGATCCTACGGCGTTCCGCCGTCCGGCCCGCCGCCTCACAACCAACCTTCGCCGTACGCCCCTCCCGGCGCGCCGTACTCGGCCTCTTCCGGCGCGCCGTACTCGGCCCCTCCCGGAGCGCCGTACTCGGCCCCTCCAGGACCACATCACCAGCACTACGGTGGCTACCCGACGCCGCCACCGCCTTCCGCTCCGTACGGGGCTCCCTTCGCGCCGCCCCCGCCCTCGGCCTTTCCACCCGGCACAGATCCCAACGTGATCGCGTACTTCCAGATGGCCGATCAGGACGGCAGTGGGTTTATCGACGATAAGGAGCTCCAGCGCGTCCTGTCGTCGTATAACGAGAGCTTCGGGATGAGGACCGTTCATTTGCTCATGTACCTTTTCACCAACAGCAACGTGAGAAAGATAGGTATTGGGATATTTTTACCAGCAATCGTGCTCTCTTTTGGTCGAATTTTTGATTCGTGAATCATTGAGGTTGATAATTTTCCCCAATTAGCGAATTTATGAATCGTTATTTGTAGCTGCATAATCTTACTATTGATTTGTATGTTATCTATTGGAGAACAAAGGATTGTGGGATTGAAAAAGGGAAAAAAGAAAGAGTGAAAGTTCTCCAAAATTATAAGGTTCCTTTAAGTCACTTTGCTGCTCGAAAATTACTCTGTTCTGCCAAAACAACTGAATGCAGCTTTTCATTATCTATTTTTTCGAGTATTAGATACCATAGACCAGAAAAACAAAGACTTTGTAGTGATTTAGCTGCTGCAAATTCTGTTGCTTTGTGCTGTAAATTTACAGTGTTTACTACGCGATTAATTATGTGAGGCAGTATAGAGAGGGATTAATCAAAACCATGTTCAAAAAAGAATGAGATCCTCACAGTATTTACTTTTTTGCAAGATATTTTATCTGAATTATGTATAAGTATGTAGTTTGATGGCCTACAAATTGATAATTGACTCAAATCAACTCAGATTTGTAGTAAAAGTTAGATTTTTACTTCTGGGTTTGGAAGATTTTCTTGTATTTGGTTTACCATATCTCTGTTTACTTCTTTAGTATCTTTGAGATCTCGGGATGATATTTCTCAATGAAGTGATTGAACTGCAGAACTGTATTTATGATAAACCTTTTATGTAACATTGAGATTTGTATATAATAACAGGTCCAAATGAATTCACTCAAGTCTATTACTGTCTTCAGAACTGGAGGGTTAGTCATTACACTCTATTTTGCTGCAAATCTTATGCACGCATTCAGATTCGTATATACACATTTTATCCTTTTCTATTTGTCCTGCGATTTTAACCTTTTTCTTTTTCATCATTTAGGCAATGTTCGAGAGATTTGATAGGGACAGAAGTGGAAAGATTGATTCATCAGAATTGAGAGATGCTCTCCTTAATATTGGATTTTCAGTGTCGCCTGTGGTTCTTGATCTGCTCGTCTCCAAGTTCGATAAAACTGGTGGCAAGAACAAGGCAATTGGATACGACAATTTTATAGAGTACGCTAAATTGCTTGTCCTTGTTTTTCTCATTATCCCTTTTTTTTTTTTCCCCATTTTACATGTTTGAATTATACTAATCCTTGCACCTTTTCTCCCCCTTCTTTTCTGTTCTTCAACAGGTGCTGTCTCACTGTTAAGGTAAAGCCTGCCATAAATATTCTTTTCTTCTCATTCTATCTTTTTTTATTTTTCACTGCTCAAACTTTTTTGGTTCGGAGTTTCGATCTTCGTTTGGCACGTGTTCTATTTTAAGATATTTGATCTTTATGACGAATAATTCTTCGTTTGCAGGGACTAACCGAGAAATTCAAAGAGAAGGACACGTCTTTGACTGGTTCAGCGACTTTCAGTTACGAAACGTTCATGCTTACGGTATTGCCTTTCCTCATAGCATAAGGATGACAAAATGTAGCTGAGTTTGCTTTCCTTATTGTGATGTTTTGTTGCTTTATTTGTTGGGATCCTTTGTTTCACTTGATTTAAGGTGTTTTTTTTTCAAGTACTATGCATTTTATTTTCTGTTGTAATCTTGGGATAGTTCATAGTTGTGATCCTTTTGTTATAATGCTAAATATCAGAAGAAATGTCACTTTATTTTTTTGTTTCAAAAGTACAATTATTATATGATGCCACTTTTTTAAAAAAAATATACATTTTGTCCATTATAATTACTGCAAAATTCAGAGAAAATGTATTGGTTGCAACAGATATATAGGTCTCCCATTTAATGCCTGAATTGTCCTAGCATTTCCTGTATTTCCCTGAGAAGGAATCATCAATTTTAATACGATATTATGTAACGTAAATATTCATTTTTCATACGATATACTTGTGGTTAGATGATCGCATTTATTCGATAGATAATACATGCTTTTGAACTTAAATGTCGCATTCTAAAAAACTACATAAACATCTAAAATATGCACAAGAGAATGACAGGTCTTTATATAAGAATTTGTGTTTATTAAATGTTAAAACTATAGTTTACCTCAAAATTTAACCCCACATAAGAATATTAACTAAATTTTTTATTGTTAAAGCATGAAGAGTCAACCACTAATGCCTTTCTTTCTTTCAATTTTGTTCTTTATTAATTTGCTAATATCTATAATTTGTTATTTCTAATTCAATTAATAATTTAATTCCAAGCAACTTATGGGCACTTACATCATTAACTGCTTCTCTTAGTGCCCTTATTTGTTGTGCTGAGGCTGTTCTTACCTACAAAATTGGAAGTAGGAGGATGGTAATAAAAGGTTAAAAGTAAATTGTGGAAATTATTTATTATTCAAATTAATATAAAATAATTAAAACATATATTATATCAAAAATCCTTTTATTTTTTAATCCTTTTCTTCACATTTTCCAATATTTGAATTAGAAAATGTTGTCACTCACCATTTTAAATATTGTCCAAGTGATATTTTCTGAGCATGGAGGAGTTGTAAGGGAGCCATTATATCTGTAATATTCTGGTTTGGCTGCAAAATTTATATTCCTTGGATCAACTGTCCCAATATTAGTTCCTTCTCCATTAATCGACTTAAGATATGGAGTAATCTGGAAATTGAAATTGCCAATATTATCATTATAATAAATTAATAAGTGATGCATAGTGGTATCACTGAAGTCAAATATTTATGCTTTATGAAGAACTAAAAATATTTTATACTTATTGTCCTTTAACTTAATCATTTAGTTGACCTTTTCTTTTTAATTTCTTTGCTAAATGAAATGATTAAAACATTACCCTTGAGAGGAAATAATCAGGCCATCCTATCTTGTACAGGATGCCAATTACAGCAATATCTCCTTCAGAATTGTTGTGAACAATATGCTGCTCCATATTGAATCTTGCAAAACAAATTGAATTTATTTATTTTTCATAAATTTTTATATGGAAATTGCGATCTCGTCTTAATACATAGTTTGACAATATATCTATACACACTAACTATTAGGTTGACAATAAAAAGCAGCTATTAGTTTTTTTCCAGATTGAAACTATATAATACACGCACGCACCAAACCAAATACTCAATTATAGTAAACCAAAATGCAGTTTTCTCATTTGTGTTTAAATGTGTACAGAGTACAGACCTAACTCCATTTAATGTGTGCTCAGAAGGAATATGCCAATGGCATTGTAGTAATTTAAACTCACTCCTCTTAATGAAGATCCCACCAGCATCACCTGTCCATTCTACCTGGAAATTAAAATAATTATTATAAATTACAACACAACAACTAAAATTTCACGACCGTAATAATAATACATACTATTTTAACAAATATTCGTATTTTCGTTAAAAAAAATATCACTTTAAAAGAATATAAAAAAAAATTGACATATAATAGTATGAATATACATTTTTGTTCACATAGTATAATAAGTCAGACCGTCAAACGGCTAAGTCGGGTCACGACAAGCTCACCTCTATAGAATGTCCCTTGTTTCTAATTCTAGCTTGAGCCGGTTTATAATCTACTTTTAAATCACCAAATGTTGGCCGATTAAGCACTGTGTAATCAACAATGTTAATTGGGGACTGGCTTTGTCCGGTTGCACAGAGAGTCCAATTCGGGCCCAAATTGCCCCAGTTTTGTGGCCCATTTTCAGCTCCCAAGTCATAGGAAATTGGAGATTCATCCTCTGGTTTAAATTGAAGAAAATAAAAAGTAATTTGACTTCCTTTTTTCTTGCACTATATCGTAGGATGAGGTGAAGGTAGTTTTTTGAATAAAAAAGACTAATCTCTCTCTTTT